TCCCCATTAATCCCATTGTTTAACGGATAAAGAACGGTATCCCATTGTTTGATATTCCGCTGGTTTCTTGCAGTACCCCTACAGTATTTTGCTCATTCAATGTTTTCATGTTGTTTATTTATTCCCCGTGGCTGATCAGAAATTCCACCATGACAACTACCATGTGGGGTCAATCCATATTGTCATCCATATTGCTGTTTAATGTTTTTATGTTGTTTAAACTTATCACACATTATATTCTAAATAAGGTTCATGATTCCATTATAAGCCCATGTGTATTTGATCATTTGAACATGCTTTATCCCCATATTGTCAAATCTGAAATATATTGATATGTGACAAACCCATAATTTGATATTTTCACATATTTTCACCATGAAAATTGCCGAAAATTGCCATGTGGAGTCCATCCATATCGTCAATTTGTAGCAACCCTGCCTCTTGCAACAAACATCACGAGTCTCCTGTTCCACCCTGCGGGGCGCCATGGGTTCCGCCAGCAATCGGGCCACTTCCTGGTGTGAATCGAGGTTGATGCGCGCACCGAAGGGCGATGCAAGAAACATTGGGGAACTATGAAACACGGTAAACTAGAGGATTACGATAGTAGTGATTTACCATACGATATAGGATTTTTTGTGAGATTATCATACTAGTTGGTTTCCAAATCACTATTGGGGGGAATCAAAAAACAGGATGTTTACCATGGGATTTTTGTTGGTGATGTATTTTTTTGGATTTAACCGGGATGAAAAAACCATCTCATAATCCGTTGTGATATCCAGTGGTATATAGCAAGGTCAGACCCCCCAGTTGTGTCTGTTATGTGATGTTTCTTGGTCCCCAGGTATGTTTCTTGGTTTTTAAACCCATTAGTAGATAGTCGTTCGATATATCATGATATATCTACCATAGTTGCCATAGTGAACTAGTTATTTGCACCAACAACTGCCTAGGGGATCTCATCTTGTGGGGAGCCTACAGTGTTATGAGGCCATTTTAATGGAGAAAAACATGGGAAACAATGACGAAAACCATTGGATTTCGGGGGGTACCGTATTTTCAATCTAGGGATGTCATGGCAATGGAAACATATGGAAACATGGACATGCACAAGGCAAACATCTGCGAAACCACCAGCCAGATGAGAAATTCAAAACATGTGTGTTGACAGGTCTCGATCATGTGCCGATCAACGAATGACTTGGGCTTCGCTTGAAGGGACCTTTTTCTGGACCTGGCGAAGGGATGCCTGGTCGCTATATCTGACCCATGTTGATTGGCAAATTGCAGTTTGATATCTCAAGTTTTCCTGAAAACAACCCACTGAAGGTACTAGAGGATACCAAACACCATGTATTTGCTGTTCTACCACCATGTCTTCCCAATAAAACCAAGACTTGTAGATCACACTTGTGCTGCTTGTCCCACTTGCTCGGCAAGATGAGAGATCCGCAAGTTGTCCCCACCTCAACAGCCTCAACAATGATATTTATCCGCAAATTATCTCCAACTTATCCCAACACTCATATGGCTATGGGTCTAAACCCTGGTACCTAAATCCAAAATAGTTGGTTTTACATGTTCATCCCACTAAAATGATAGTATTTATAGGTTTTGACCCACCCGCATATTCTTGTTGAATTGAACCCCAGCCAGGGCGGTTCCTCACCATGGCCCAGGCCTGACGTCGCGGTTGATCCCAGGTGGATAGCAGATCATCGCCCTCCTGAAGCGCAAATTTGATTGGTTTCCATTGGTTTAACATATGGGGTTTTCCTGAAATGGGGGTATAGCTGGATGGCCTATTTCATGGAAAATCCACAAATAAAAATTTGGGGGGTACCCCTATTTTAGGAAAAAAAACATATATCAATGGGAATATGAAAACCAATGGAACATGAAATGAAAGGGAAACCAATGAAAATGAAAACCGATAAGTTCTGTCATTGGTTTCCATTGGTTTAATGGGGAAATGAAATCTTATGAAATCTCCGAATATCATGGGAATATGACAGGGTTATACACTGTATAGAATGGTATATAAGCTCTTTTTGGATTGTCATAGATAGTTTGCAACAAATTGGTTGATAACTAGGCTATAAAAGTTAGATTCATGATATGGATGTGGGTCAAAATGGAAGACCTAGGGGACCACAGATGTTGGTCTAGTTTAGTATTAACCATCCAATTATTGGGCTACCTAATTTTGATCCATACCCATATTTATCTATATTTATGGTGGATAATATCTACACTTCTAATCAGTTCTATGGTGTATAAACCAACAAATACAACTGGGGGCAGGGCTTCCATGGCTATGGTGCCAGGTCCGCCAGGTCAACCCGGCGGACCTATGTTCGGTGGCCATCAGGCCCTTTTTTGGGGGATGAATGGACAAGAACACACACAGATATATATATATATATGATTTAATCATACAATTATATACGATGTATATGTATATGTATATGTGTATATATATATATATACATATGAA